CCAACATGAGAAAGCTTAAATTCACTAGGCCCACAATATAGTACTATTAAATAAATTTATGGTTTAAAAATTTTCTAAATGCCTAGTAAAAGAAAATTTGTTTCTCCTCTCTAATTTTAATGTCCAAGTCCCTGAAGCATTCCTTTTGTTGTAGTCAACTTCATCCTAGGGGAAGCAATTTCCCAAATGTTGATTTTTCTCACCAGCAAAATAAGAGGAGTATCCAGTCCACTGGCTAGCAACCCCCTAAAAGTGAGAAAGAATTAAATTGTAAACTGCCCAATTTTATAAGAAAATTGTTTTCAACCTTACTTGTCAACTTAATTCACAAAATAAGTGATCTACCAAGTCAGCTGAAAAATGAGTAAAATTAAATTGGAAAAAAACACAATTTACAGGGTCAAGGTCAAGGATGCACATGGCCCGGAAGGGTGGGAGAGAAACGAAAGCTGTACTGCAGTGGAAGTACCAGAGCTTCCAGGAGGGCAGGGAGAGAGCCCAAGTGTGGATAAAATACATGTGGAAGTAAAAAGGGAAACTGGAAAATAGTAAGGGTGCTTAAAAAGCTACCTGTGGATTAATGAACTTTCCTTCCATCAATCTTTAAAATTACAGTTGTTTCTGAAACTAATCCCCTTGGCTGCATTTTAAGTTTTCCAGAGCTTTTATCATTGCTGTCTGGGAAGAGCAGGAAGGGATGCTAAAAAAAGAAAGAAAAGAAAAGAGAAGAAAAGAGAAAAGAAAGAAAAAGATGCTATCATACAGGAAATGAAAATAAATCAATTTCGAGATGGCATCTGCTACTTTCCTTTTAATGTCACAAGAGTAACAAACTTCATACTCAATTTCATATGACAAGCATCTTTATAAAACTAACCATATTACCCATTATAATTAGCTCTCTTGCAAGGTTAAATAATATAAAATTGAAAATTACTGGGTGACTACAATCATACCAATTCTGTTTCTGAATGAACAAACTACATGGACACTTGGCAAAGGAAAACAAAATGAGAATAGAAGCAATGAGTCAGGGGGACTAGAGGACTAAAGCTGCTACAAACGGGAACACTGATTAATAGCAGGTTATGATAAGTATAAATCTGAAGTTTCAACTGGGAATTGCTGCTATACTAAAACTATGTATATCCACTGCAAAGTACATGCCTTGGAGCAAAGTTAATTGCAGGAAATTTCACAAGTAACTCCCTGCTCCTTACTATATTATATAGTAGAGGTGTTGAAACAAGTTTTGGTTGTCAGGCTAAGCCTTTTGGTTTTCAGTTGAGTATTTGTGTTAACATGTCAACTTTCTCCTATTAGTTGTTTTATATTAAATTAGGTTTTTTGTCCTCTGAACTAAGATTCTCTCAGAATCACAGCAGGAAACTGAATGACTCCAATAAATTCACCAATTATAGATTAACCTTCAATGCCAGAGGCTAGTTTGCAATAAAAATTCAGTTTTGATCTCAGGATCAGGGAAGTCCAAAAGAAACTTCAATGTCAGGGGCACCTGGGTGGCTCAATGTGTTGAGAGGCTGCCTTTGGGCTCAGGTCATGATCGCAGGGTCCTGGGATCGAGTCCCACATCGGGCTCCCTGCTTGCTCCACGGGAGTCTGCTTCTCCCTCCTACTCTCCCTCTGTTCTCTCTCTCTCTCAAATAAATAAAAATATTAAAAACAAACAAACTTCAAGGTCATCTGTACCAACCATTTCTGTGTACTTTTTGTATCAATTACCTGTTCTAAAACTTTCCATGAAAAAAATGAATTTTCTTCAGTAGTAGAGTTTGGGTTTGAGCAAAATGTCAAAAACAGTTCTCCCATGTTGAGTATATTTTAAGTAGGCTCCACACTCAGCGTGGATATAGGGCTTGAACTCACGACCCTGAGATCAACAGTCAGCCGTTTAACTGACTGAGCCACCCAGGTGGCCCATGAGTATATTTTTGACTACACTCTCAAAATACTCCTTGGGTTCCTGCACTTACCTACAATGTTAGTGTTGTCCATGTATACATATTACGGAACACTGAATGATAACTCCTACACATGTAATAGGGAAATAAAAGTTCACTTTGACCAATGTGATTTAATCCTTGTTACTAAGTGCTTTACAAAGCAATGCTTTCCTAACATTTTATTGATTTGATGAAATCTTTTAGATTTTTTATTTATTTGACGGAGAGAGAGAGACAATGAGAGAGGGAACAGAAGCAGGGGGAGTGGGAGAGGGAGAAGCAGGCTTCCCGCTGAGCAGGGAGCCCGATGTGGGGCTCGATCCCAGGACCCCAGGATCATGACCTGAGCCGAAGGCTTAATGACTGAGCCACTCAGGTGCCCCTAGATGTGATGAAATCTTAAGAAATCTTAAGTCGGGGCACCTGGGTGGCTCAGTCATTAAGCGTCTGCCTTGGGCTCAGGTCACGATCCCAGGGTCCTGGGATCGAGCCCCGCATCGGGCTCCCTGCGCAGCGGGAAGCCTGCTTCTCCCTCTCCCACTCCCCCTGCTTCTGTTCCCTCTCTCGTTGTGTGTGTCTCTGTCAAATAAATAAAAATAAATAAAAAATTAAGAAATCTTAAGTCATGTGGGCTTCTGCCTTCAAGTCTGTTCTGAACCTCATATACCCGCTGGTAGGAAAGTAAAATGGTACAACCACTTTGGAAAACAGTCTGTCAGTTCCTCAAATGGTTGACCAGAGAGTTACCATGTCACCCAGCAATTCTACCCCTAGGTAGACACCCAAGAGAAATGAAAACGTACGTCCACATAGAAACTATTCAAAACAGCCAAAAGGTAGAAACCACCCAACTGTTCATCAACTGACAAATGGATAAAAATGTGATAGCTGTAAAATGCACTATTATCTGGCCATACAAGGTATGAAGTACTGATTCATGCTACAACGTGATGAATCTTGAAAACATGACGGGAACTGAAAAAAACCAGTCACAATAGACCACATATTATATATTCCATCATGAAAAATTCCAGAATAGGCAAATCTATAGAGACAAAAAGTAGATCAGTCATTGCCTAGAGTTGGGGATGAGGAGGTGATAGCTAAGGGATCTTTTTTAAGGTGAAGAAAATCTTCTATGATGAAAATGTGGTAATAGTTGTACACAACTGAGTTTGCTTTTAAAAGCCACCAAATTACATGCTTTAAATAGGTGAATTTAATGTATATGAATTATAATTCAATAAGCTGTTATTTTTAAAAATCTGTTTCTGAGATGTGAAGTACTTGAGAATCCGCAAAAATCTCTTCCACAAAGCTTTTCTGGTCAACAGTAAAAGAATTAGTTGAAGTCCAATTTACTTTACTGTAACTGGAACCAGCTCACAGTATTTTGTTATGTACATTTCTAAAATGTGAATGCAGTTTAAGAAAATACATCATTACATCAGCTATTCCAGGCAGCCTGCCATGAGACATTTTTACCAAAAAAAATCTTAAAAGGAATCCATTTAACCAACCTCAGAGTATATGTTCTTTCTCGTTGCCTCATCTCCTTATAAGCTGTCATATCCCTAAAATTCTCATGTTTAACAATACTAGGCATCATTAATTCAGTCATTACCTGTCTACGTGTGTACACACACACACACACACACACACACACACACACACTCTCTCTCTCTCTCTCTCTCTCTCTCTCTCCCTCTCCCTGCTCCGGTGGAGCTTACAATCTAGTAAGACAAGATAAATAATACATGCTGGTTTTCAAACAGGGTGCTATGCTGTGGAGGAATGCTGTTTTACATGGAGGATCTAGGAAAGGAGGCTTCTTTGACAGATGTCTGAGGTGAGAAAAGAAGGTGCCCAGCCATACAAAGACCAAGGAAGATAACTCCAGGCGGAGGAAATAATTTTTGAATGGGAGAATCAGGAGGAAAAAAACAGAACAAAAAAAGGATTAACTGTGCACTGCCGGTGACCAGCATTCCTCCGTGAGTCTCCTGCACCTAGTACAGGCATGTCTGGCAAGGTGGCTTGCAGATTATGGCTGGAATAAGACTTTTCACAATTGTTCAGTAAGAAAGGTCACCTCTGGTTAAGCCCCGCCTGAAGTGATCTTCTTGGACCTCTTGGCAGCTGTTTATTATGTGCACCTCCCATTCTTTCACCACACATGGGTACAAGGTGCTGTATAAGGAAGTGCTGGGACATAGAGACATGCACCCCAGTGACCTCTAAGGCAGGAAATCATCTAGTGGCACAAAAAGGTAGGCATGAACAACACACACAGGTACAAAGTAAAAGTGGGCCACAAAAAAGGGAAATAAAATGTAGGAGTGTGTGGAGATCGCTTGCAGCTGGAGCATCAGGGGAAGCCTCATGGGGTGGAGGCATGAGAGCAGAGTCAGTGATGCCTGAGAACTTGGACATGTGGGGGAATACAGACTGGTTTGTTGTATCCCTAATTAAGTATATCTCAAAATATTTTTAGCTCCCCAACCAAGTTACAAGCTCAGGGACAGAAGGCCTGATATTCCTTACATTTCTCTGTGATTCTTAGCATTGTATCATGATGTATTGTGATTCATCATGAGAGAGGAGATGTTGATTTCAGCACTGAGACAAGGCTGAATTATTCTTTGGGCTTCAAAAGCAGAAGACTCCCCAAACCTCTTAATACACCATCTCATTTCACAGGGACATTCCTAGGAGTTTTTCCAAAATTCAAAGTTATTACAAGTAAACAGGTATATAGTGTGCTTCTGAATACATACACATATACAATGTTTACATGTGTATTGTACATCACTATACCTTAAGTTCAGAATCTCACAAGATTATTTTAAACTTCCACCGCTAAATCAAAGTTTGTACTTGAGAGAAAATACTTTTTTCACTGATCAAACTTTCCCATCCAGGCCCTCATCATCCCTTCCCATTCCCAACAAAAAACCTTAAACCAGAGAAGAAAAGCCAAACAACATTTTTTAGGCAGTGTCTCAACATCTCTAAAAAATATTCCATGGCCAAACTCACCATAGAGAGCTGTCCAAGTTTGATTAATTACATCTAGACACACAGTTCCTGACCTGAAACAGATGGAAAGAATGGCATTTTTTAAAAAATTAAGAAATCTAGTCGCATGTATCTGGCAACTAATTTTATCAAGAAAAGTACCTTTAACAGATCATAAGAAAGAAAGAAAAGAAAGAAAGAAAAAAGGAAAAGGAAAAAGGAAAAGAAAGGAAAGGAAAAAGAATCCCAATTAGGGAAGGAAAAGTATGAGCAGAATATTTACAGTGTTAGTGTCTCCGTAAGAGAGTGAAAGGAAAAACCCACAACTACACAATGGAGAGACCAGACAACACCTTCATGAGAATTCACACTGCCTGGGGTGGGGGGGGTGGGAGACACACCTGTGTGTCTCCCCAGGACCCCAAGGGCACAATCACACTTTGTGGTTTTCTGGCCTGAAGTGCATCCTCTGGATCTAATGAGGAAACACCAGACAACCCCAAACTGAGGGACAGTCTTTAAAATAACTGATCCATATTCTTTTAAAAATGTCAACATTAAAAAAGCTGAGGAACTATTCCAGATTAAAGTAGTTTAAAGAAACGTGACAAGTAAATGCAATACATGGTCCTGGGCTGATCCTTCACTGAGGGGGGGAAAAAAGTGCCAAAAAGGTACACTGCTGTAATGTGGCAGTAGACTAAAAAGTACTGTATTGATACTCAGTTCCTGAATCAGACGACTATACTGTGGTTATGTAACAAAACATCCTTGTTGTTAGGATGACTGATACACAGAAGTATAAAAGGACAACGGGGCATGATATGTGTGTACAACCCACTCAAAGAATTCAGAATACCTCATGTGTATGTGTGTAACAGTAGAATTTAGTGCTGTGACAAGGAAAAACCGCAGAAAAAAATCATGTATTGCAAACAGCATTGGAAGTATGTGATAGGAGGCAAATCTTAAAGTATCACTAATAAAATATTAGAAGGAAAGAAAGGGTAGATTCATTAACTGAAATAAAACTACAGCCATTCATGTTTGCTTTACTCTCAAGAACTAAGAAACACTTTAAGGGCTGAAAATAGTAATTCCGTATACAGAAAACTGGTCTCTGAATTGTGTCCATACGAAGAGAACGGAGATGTGGAATATTACAAATCCTAGCTAGGTATCGCAGGAAATGAAGGACCCACTCACGACAGTGGAAAAACTAAGCAACCCAACAGCAGGGTTTGCACTAAGTGGTTTAGAGTATCAATAACCCTGGAACTCCAGTTTAAGTGACCATACAGTCCTCTCTGTTGATAAAATCCAAAAAGATAATTGAGACTTTTTTTAATAATGGAGAGAGAGAGAGATGAACGCTAATAAGAGCAGTTGCTGCTAAGATTTAACATTTTTAAATAGTTACTTACGCTTCATCAATGTTGGGATGGAAAATTTTATTCATGAATCCTGTAAAAAGAAATGTTAATTAGCAGCAAAAAAGTGTCCAGAGAACAATTCATTTTTTAAGTATTTCAGTACTGGAAACAATTTCAGTATTGGAAAAAGTTGATGATACCCATAACTCATTATTTTTAACTTAGATGTTTGGTTACTGGGAAGACTATATATTCTCCTGACAGTGTCAATTACTTAAAACACATCAGAGTTCTCTTTAAAAAATGAGCAAACTTTGAGAGCAAAGCAGCTTCTTATATACCAAATAATCAAGAGAATCTTTTCTGAGCTATGAAGGTACTTGCCAAGAAAATTTGTAGTACTAAATGGGTTATAACTAGTGCCGATTACTTTTATCAGAAAGTTAAGAAAGCTACTATGACTTCCCTCCTAAAGGTTTTATTGTTCAATCTCTAAATTTAGAGGTTCTGCATTTGAACTTCTTCTGAAGCTCAGTTATGGGTATCATACTGCTCCACTGCATGCGGAACATGAATGAAGCTGTTGAAACACTAAAGGAGCACCGCTTCCAAACCACAAAGGATTTCATAAGAACAGAGACCAAAATATTTCCTTTAACTTTAGTCTACTCATTCCAGGAAACCCAGTTTTGATTAAAATTGGGGCAACCAAGAAATGAGGCAAGGAGTTAAAAAAAAAATCTGTCAGATGGCTGTATCTGTCATGGATTCAAGTTTTTTGATTTATTCCTAGAAAAATAGACTAACAAATATACATATATATTTTTTTAAAGATTTTTTAATCTATTTTTTGACAGAGA